AGGGTGACCAGTTGGGCAGCAGAAAAACTGCTGAGCAAGCAGTTATGCAGAGTCAGGGTCCACAGGGCCGCAGGCAAGCAGAAGAGCTGAGCACTGACCTCCCCACCAAGCCAGTGCGGGCAAGGCGAGGGCTTGGGTAATTAATGTTTATAAAGAGATTGGGGAGCCCTGAAATGAAAGACTATTCAAAATCCCCAAAGTATTGTTATCACCAGCCCGAATGATCTGCTTTTGAAGGAAGCCATCATCATCAAGGGTGCTGTGCCCGGCTGAAGCCTTCACACACCCCGTCTGATCTCATCTTGCGATGGCCCCACGTGGCAGGTTTGGGTTTCCTTCTTTTTGTGTGTGTCTTAAAACTAAATGTAATCAATCCTCACTGCACAGATGAGAAAACCAAATTCAGCAAAATTAAGTCACTGGCTAGAAACTAGCAGAGCTGAAATTTGAGACTAATTCTTTCTAAGTACAGAGACCTTCTCTCTTCTCTTCAAGCTCTTCCTGCATTTAAAATAAAATTTTCATTTGAGAATACCTATGGCTTTTTTTGTCTGTTTTTTAAAAAAATGAAGTCTATCTTGAAATATCAAGAAATGCATAAATTTCAAGTTCATGATGTGAACTATCAATGTAAGGGACATTTCTGTCACTCCACACAGTCCCCTGGTGCCCCTTCTCTAAAGACATCTTTTAAATAAATTTTTTAAAAGCCAGCAAATAAAATAAGCTAATTTCCTTTTGACCAGAACGATCTTTTTGTAGCCTTGGTCATGAGATTATCATACCCATGGGGTCAGTCGCTTAGGTAGGCACACTGACTATGGTTGGGAATATCCAAAAGGGAAATCCCAGTAAAACTTTGTGACCTGCTGATTCCATCGCAATGAGCATAAGGTGGTAAGTAGATCTGGACTCGAGAGAGATTGTACTTCCATGTCCGATTATCACATCATTTCAGCTCCTACCCATGTGTCAGGCACTAGACTGGCATCCTTTAGAACACACAATCTCATTTAATCTTCATCATTATTACCTTCGTTACAGCACAGGAAAATTGGGCTCAGAGAGGTTAGGTAACATAACTAAGAACACTGAGAAAATGGCACCTTTAAAATTCAAGTCCAGGGGGGTCTTTATAGCATCTTTACAGATGTTGAGGAGCAAGTTTTAAAAGCCAAACCCTGAGTGGGCTGGTTATATTCATTCAACTAACAGTGCAGGGGCATGGCCCAAGTGCCCAGCTCTGCACAGGGTAAGATGGAAGAAGAATGAGTGAGAGAAGGGAGGGCTACCGGGAAAATCATGATGAAACCACATCTTCAAGGATGATGGAAAGGGGCCAGCCCTGGAGTTTCAATACAGTAACTAACATGTACAAAGGCTGCCCACTCCTTATTTAGCTTTAACAAAATGAATTTGGGAAATTCAAATTTTCAAGCCCCCACGAAACACCACTCCTCCCTGGGACCTTTCAGCTGTTGCCCCAACTCCTCAAACAGCTGAAAACCAACCAAAGAGAACCCCAGCTCTGAGGGCTGTTCACATCACCGCAGAGTGCAGGATCTACACGCCCACGCATGGGATTCCTCAAGGCCAACTATCTTGCTTGCAGAGGTGAGTCCCAGGTGACCAGTTTTGTGATTCCTCACGCTTGGCAGTTTAGCAAATTAGAAGGACAGACAGGTGGAGAGATTGGCAATAAAAAGAGGGAACCACGCTAGAAAGACTTGCACAGGTGATTCAAGAAACTCACAACACAACAGCTCCTTTTAGGACACCATTGTGTTATAGCTCACTCAACTCAACAGGCATCTAATAAGCTCCAACTGTGTACCAGGCCCTCCCTTAGGCTTGATTGAGGTTATAAAAACATGTACAGCCAGCACCCTATTACACGCCTGTAATCCCAGCGGTTTGGGAGGCTGAGACAGGAGGATCGCAAGCTCAAAGCCAGCCTCAGCAATTTAGAAAGGCATTAAACAACTCAGCAAGACCCTGTCTCTAAAATTAAAAAGAAAAAAAAAAGAGCTGGGGATGCAGCTCAGTGGTTAAGTGCCCCTGAGTTAAGTCCCCAGTACCCCCCCCCAAAAAAAAAAGTAAAATTCAGTACTGCCCAGTTCCGTTTGGTAGAGACAAAGTATAAAAATGGAGACAAAAAGAAGTCAGGTTGTGAAGGGTCTCTGTTCAACTGTGTAGATAATGAAGGGAACGAAGGATGGCCTGAGGGCAGGGGACTCATCTGTCACTAAAGTCATACAGACAGTGATTAAGAGGGTGGACCCTGAGGCCAGGCCTTCTGCATTCAGACAAACAAGATATTTAGTTCCCTGTTTCTTCCTTTGTTAAGGGGGATAAGAGAAGAACTTTTTCGAATGGAGCATTGAGGATCAAATAGTCAATATGAGGAGTGAAGATGGACCCATGTCAGCTGTTATCACCTCTTACCCAGTGCTTGCTTATCCCCTAGCATTTAGAAACCGCTCAATAAATATTGATGAACAAATGAACTCATAAAGGAATAAATAAATGATGCTACTGAGTTAAAGGGGGTAAATCTATTATAAAAGGTGTGTCCTCCTTAAGGTTTGCAGCAAGAGTTTAATAGGTTTGATATTGAACGTTTGTCGCAGATACCTAAGACATTAATCACTCATTCCTTAACTCTTCTGCATACATGTCCTGCCACTTTAAACAAGCCCCAAGAAAGGAGATGAAGAGATCACAATGAAATTACAGTATATCTCATGCTCGAGAAGGCTGAAGGTCCCTGAGACCCAGGAGTTAAGCTCTGTGGTGTAGGAAACGCCTGATGGCAGCAAGTCCCAACCACCACACACTCACCCTGCCCAAAACCAACTCTGTGGTCTTCTCTTTCCTTAAATTATACTTACTCCAAAAAAGAATAAACACAAACACTGTCTTTAAAAGATGTTAAGGATCATAAAAGTAAACGTATTTGAAAAACATAGGGGCTACTAACAGAGGTACAAGAAGACCTGGGGTGGGGTGGGGTGTACCATATACCTAGCTCCTATTTTGCAGATGAGAAGGCAGAAGCCCGGAGAAGTAAAAGTGCCTGCCAGAAGGCACCACTTCAAGAGAACAGCAGACACAGATGAAGCCCAGGGCCCAGATTTGCAGACTGGAGCCTCCTGAGGGGAATGCTGATCTCCCACAAAGGAAATCTGGTGGGAGGAAAAAGGAGAGGTTCCAGTCTAAGAAGGAGCATAGAGGGGGAGAAAGAGAGATGGCCCAGGGTTAAAGGATGATTGACCGGACACTGGGAGCACCCATGGGGAGAACATCAAGCCCCTCTGAGCTTTTTGGTGGAGTTGGGCTTCCAAACAAAGAACAATCCAGTCCAAAGCTCCTGGGTTTTGCTGGTGAACCCCCCCCCCCCCCGCCCCATGCTGAAGAAGCCCATACAAAGCCTAATGCTTTCTCCCCAATGTTTCCATTCTCAGTCCGGATGGGGTGTGTGTGTGTCCTCCTAGCAGACATCTTTTTTGGGGTTGTGCCCTCCTTCTGCAGGCAGCAGAGGGGGTGGGGCTCTAGCAAAGAGATACAAAAGAGGATCAAAGCGGGTCCTTCGCCCCCAACACATAGACCCACACCTCAATCGCTTTGGTCCTTTCCCCCTTCCCCCACCTATGATCAAACCCAGGTGAAGGAATCCGGAGCTGCAGGGTCGTTTCCAAAAGGTTTCAGCTGGAGCCCTGCGCCCTGCATGCCTGCTGGCTCCTGCGCACACTCCCAGAGTACTTACACAAGGGGCACACATCTACCACAAGCACACACTCGCATGTGCACACTTGCCCCCCCCCCAGAGGCCTAGCCGCGCCCACTGCATCTCTCCTTCAGCCCCCGGGAAACAGACAGGCAGCAACATGAATGAAATCTGCCCAGAGAGACTGCATTTCTGCTCCAACCACGCAACCTCCGGCCAAACCGCCGAATATGTAACAAAGTTTTATTTCGCTTTTCGAGTCTCCAGTTACGCTTCTACCATTTCCTGTGGAAAATTGAAGCTTTGAAGTGTCTAGCCCCGGCTTTCTCAGACAGGCAGGCCCGCCAGCGCGAGCTCTCAAAAACAAGGGCCTGGGTCCCACCCCCTCCGCCACCAGAACTGCGGGTTCAGACCCAGCAGCTCCGGCCTCCAATACAGGGCGGTGCGAAGAAGGACCCGCGGAAACGACGCCCTGAGCTGATAACCCCCTCCCGAACCCCGCCCCACCACCATCCTGCTTGGGTCCCTCGTGGTGTGGCCCTCCTTTCAGCCAAGTGGTGACAGCTGCAAATCCCTGCCGGAGGGAACCTAGACGGCTAGAGCTGGGAGGTCGGAATTGAGGGCTTTGTCCACCGCTCAGCATCCCCCGCCATCACCAGCTGTGTGCTCTGGTCCCCAAAAAAACTGCCCGGGAAAAACTTGAACAGATCCGTCCTCGCTCACCCTCCCACCACACATACACATCTCCCCCACTGTTTCTAGGCCAAGCCAGCTCTTAACCCTTCTGCCTTTACCGCCGCCCGACCCTCCTTCCCCCTTGGGAAGGGCCAGGTCTTGGGCCAAATAGAGAATGGGTGGGGAGAGAGGAACGCGCCTCCTCCCGAGTCCTAAAGAGTCAAACCTGTGGGCACGGGAATGGGGCATCTTAAAGAGCCAAACAGGGTTCTGGTAGAAGATATGCACCAGGTGCAAAAGATCTCAAACCCGCTTTTTGAAAAATGGTGTCGGGTTTCGCTCACAGCAGACAGCCGCTGCCCCGCCCCTGGGGTGGGGGGCGGAACCCGGCGCTCCAGAACCTGGGCTGCTTCAAGTACGCGATCTCCAACACGGTGAAGAACGCGCGCGTTTCTGGCCGCCTCCTGCGCCGCCGTCCCCTCAAAAGCTTGGGGCAGTGGCTGGTGGCCGAAAAAACGCGGGAGGGGGACGCGAGGCAAACTTGCGCCGAGAGTTAGCAGAGTTGGTGGAAGGGAGAGGCACCCGCGCCACCACTTACCGCTGGCGTTCTTCCCGCAGATGAGGTGCTGGTAGGGCTGCAGAAGCCCCCAGATCTCGGAGTCGTTGTTGACCGTGTGCTCCAGGGTCTCCAAGGTGAACTTGGGCGCCTCGTGGAGAGTGTGGTGGTGAAGGTGATGGTTGGCTGCAGCGGCGGCCGGCGGGACTGCGGTGGCGGCCGCAGCTGGCGGGGCGCAACAGCTACTGCCCCCGCTGGCGCTGCTGGCTGCGCTGCAGGCGCCGCCGCTCGCCGCTCCCCCTCCGGGCGCCTCCCGCTCCTTATCCGCCGCGGGGGCAGCACCGGGGCCTGAGCTCGGGCCTGGGCCGGAGCTGGAGGCCGAGCCGGGGCCGCTGCAGCTCCGGGGGAGCCCGGAGGCCACTACCCGCGCGTAGATGTCCCGGAAGAGGCTCTCCATGCAGGCAGTCAGGTAGATGGCGGCGTGCTCGTGGATGCGCAGGGCCACGCGGCTGTCCACCATCCAGCGATACACACGGCCCACAGAGAAGGTGAGGCCGCAACGCGCCGACTTGCCGCGGCCCAGGCGGTCCCCGCCAGCACTGCTCATGTTGTAAAGGGACAGTGCGGCCAGCGCCGCTGCTGTGCAGTGCGCCGCCAGGCCCCAAGACAGCACGATCTCCATGGCGCTCTGAATCTCGTACTTGGTGCACTTGGCGAAGCGCAGGCTCAGGCGCTGCGCCTCTTTGGCGATGCGCACCAGCGCCCGGCTCACCAGCATCGATAGCTTCGCCAGCGCGTCCTTGGGCAGGCTGCCGGGTGCCACTGGGCCTGCCCGGGGATCCCGCGAGCGCAGCAGCAGCACCTCCAGCTCCTGCAGGGTCCAGGGGACCTCGTCGAGGTCCGGCAGCAGCCGCGAACAGTGCTGGCCGGCGCAGTCCAGCCCCTCGGAGTCTTCCACCAGGGCAGTGTTGACGGTGTCAAAGCTGTTGTGCCGGCTGTGCATGGAGTCAGTTAGAGGCGGCCAGCAGCTCCCGCCATACGGGGACGCCGGGTGCGAGTCGGAACAGCACAGAGACAAGTTGGAGGAGCGCACCGAGTCCGCCGCGCCACCATAACCCGAGTCCAGCGTCAGATCCTCCAGCGTTCTTACCACGGGCTTCTTACCTCTCCTGGCCATCGCTGCGCCACTTCATGCTGCGGCCGACGGGGAGCCGAGTGGAAGGAGCAGCGGGCGCCCGGGTTCGCGGGGCAAGGGGGCTCCGCGCCGCCTCGGCTCACTTTTCCACCAGGTGTTACCAGCACCAAGTGTTACTACTTTCGGCTGCCTCCCGGAGCTGAAATGCACAGGGCAGACCCTGGAGTCATCTTCCAGAGCCTGGGCCAGAGCTGGGGCGCACTGAAAAGCGAGCCAGACCAGGAGGGAAGCTCCCTCCGGAACTCGCCCCTTTCATCCAAAATAAAAAGTGTCTGGCCCGGTCCTTCCTGGGCCTGAATGGGTGCAGAAGCTGCCGGGCGGCGTCTACAATGTCGGTAGGATGGAGGCTGCCCCAGGTGCCGCCGCAGCAGCTCCGCTGGCAGCTGGCTCCCAGCTCGCGGCCGCAGCTCTCTCGGTGCCCGCCCGCCCCGCACTGAAGCACGGCGGCTGCCAAGGCCGCTGCAAACCCTGCTGAACCTCAGCAAACCCCGGGCAGCCAGCTGGGCGGGCATATGCAAAGCAGGAAAGGCGAGGAGCCAATGATGTTGGAGGATGCTAATTACTTCGCCCTTTAAAAAATCCTCCTTACCACGGGCCCCGCCCCTCAGACACGCCCCCGGCCCTGACCAAGGCTACAGGAAGTGGGGAGCGGCGGCCTAGGAATTGGGGGATCCGTGGGAGCATAAAAACGCAAAAGCTGCCGCCCTGCTGCTGTCCCGGCCCCTCGTGCTTCCGGCTCTGGTACCAGAACGCGAGGGTGATAGGTTTGGCAGGTGACCATACAACTGGGGTGTGCACCCCACAGCGATTGACAAAGAGTCTACCCGAGGGTCATTTTCGGCCCCTGCCTTTTGGACTTCATGGTCCCTTTTCAAATCAATACTTGGAGATTGTTTTTATTTCCTTTATCTATCCCCCACTTTAGGTCCCAAACCTCTTTCAGCTCGTCTTTGCTCCATGGGGGGAGGAAGAAAGCCAGGAGAGGGGAGAAGAGACCAGGGGCGATGGACCCAGGGGGAGGCCGAATCTCCACCTGCCACCTGGGTTCGCTAACTAGCTTGTTGCATTGTTTGCTTGCTTGCTTCCAATAAACAGGAGAAACCTGTGCGCATCCTTCAAAGTCTGGGTGGGGTCCTGGAGGGAGGACTCGTGCACCACTTGGAAGTTTTGATGGGGCTTCTTCCAGCTAGCCAGCTGCATTTCTGTGTCAATGGCATTGTCGTGTTTATTTGTGGGTCCCCATGCATGCACCCTAGCAAAAACCGTCTTTTAACATGGGAATCCCCAGCTCCCCACACAGCGCCTCTCAGTTTAGAAGTCCTCTCCTACAGTAAGCCCATTCAAATCTCCCAAAAGTAGCATGGGTGCTTCCAGTTACCCTCACCCCTTTCTGTGGTGTATGTTGCCACTCTAGGTCGTCACAGTCTGCTTATTTGTCGGGATTCTACTCTGGACTAGAGGTTTGCTGTGCACAGGCATGGCACAGAATAGGTGCTCAGTAAATATTTGTTGTAAATTGGTGAAGGAAGGAAGGACATGCTTTAAAACTGTTGTTTGAATGTTTAACAGGTATATGAAAAGATGCTCAGCGTCACTAATCATCAGGGTACTGCAAATCAAAACCATAATGGGCTGACACCTCACACGTTAGGATGGCCAGGGTTGAAAAGTCAAAAAGAAAACAAGCATTGACAAGGATATGGAGAAAAGAGAACCCTTCCTTGTAGGCTGTTGTTGGGAACTTAAAGTGTTACAGCCATTGAATAAAATAATATAGAAGTTCCTTTAAAAAAAATAAATAAAGCTACCCTATGATCCAGCAGTCTCACTTCTAGATATTTATCCAAAGGAAATAAAATCACTATCTGGAAGTGCTGACTGCACTCCTACGTCCATTATAGCACCATACAATAACCAAGATATGGAAACAACTTATGTGTATGTCCCTAGATGGATGGATAACGAAATTATAAAGCAGATAGTTATAGCAGAATATTATTCACCTTTAAAAAGAAGGAAATGTCACCATTTGAGACCATATGAAGTACCGAAAGACAAATAATGCATAATCTCACTTGCAACTGAATCTTTGTTTTGTTTTTTTAAATAGCAGGATAGTGGTTACCAGAGGCTGGGCTTGGAGTGAGATACAAAGATACAAACTTTCAGTCAAAAGAGGAACAAATTCTAGAGACCTAATGTAAGGCCTACAGTTAATAATGATGTGTCCTTGAAATTTACTATGAAGGTAGAGTTTAAGTTTTCTCATCATACACAGGGGAAAAGGTAACTGTGAGGTGTATGTTAATTACCTTGATTGTTGATTGTTGTAATCATGCACAATGTATACATATATCAAAACATTGTGTAGTGCACCTTAAAAATTATATATATTGTCGATCATACCTCAGTAACTGGGGTTGGGAGGGAAACTGGTGGATTATCTGATGTTTTCCATATCTGTGAACCCCAAATCAAACTATACCTACCATCCTAGTACATTCTCATCATCTTTCACTTTGACTATTATTATTTTCTACCAATTGGTCATGTCTCCTGCCTCTTCTTTCTCCAAACTACCCAGTCCAATAAACCTCCAAAACCCCAGCTCTCATTTTGTCATTCAAAAACACTTATATCAAAAAAATTCAAAGGGGGCTGAGGTGTGACTCTCCTAGCACATGCAAGGCGCTGGGCTTGATCCTCAGCATCACATTAAAAAAAATAAATGAAGATATTGTGTCCAACTAAAAATTAAAAAAAAAAATTCAAAGGCTCTCCATTGCCTTACAGATGACCTGACTTTCAGGGATCTCACCCTGTCCCCAACTTAGATGGTCTTTAATGGACTGAATCCTGCCTTCCTCTGTGGCTTCTCTCACTCCAGCCTTCTGAACACACGTGCTCAAGGGGATACACAGATACACCCCCACACAGAGATGCACACACTCACGCATGTACACACACATCCTAGGCTCTAGCCATCCTGCAGGTGCTTGCTGGTTTCCAGGTTAGTATCTTGTCTGTTGTATCTGATGGGCCCTTGCAGGTGCTGCTTCCTCTGCCCACATTCTCTACCTGGTAAACATCTTCCTTCTCATCCTCCGAGATTCAGCTCTGGCTGCCTCCACTGGACAATATTCCTCGATGCTGCCCGCTGTCCACCCTGTCTAGACAGGGGCAGGTTCCCCCTCCCTGTTGCTTGGGGCTTGTTTCCAGGGTCCTGTTCCCTTCTCTGCACATTTCCCTGGTGATCTCGTCTACCCTGTGCCTCCATTACCACCAATGTGTTGATGTGGCTTGAGTGACAACCTCTCAGCCTCTCGGTGGCTCACAGGTAGCAAGAGAACCAGGAAAAGCCTCATATATAGCAGAGAAAAAGCTGAAAGCAGTGGGTTTAGAATCCATTCATCTTCTTCTGTGGCACTAGGTCAACCTGGACTCCAGGATTGCCTCTGCCGCTTTCCCCATCACACACTCTGAGGTCACTCCTTCCGTCTCTTTGCACCTTTATTTTCTTGCCTTTCGCCCTCCCCCCCCATCACACCCACTTGATAAGGTTGCAGGGATTAAATAAGATCTTTCCATGCATAGATTTAGCACAAGGTTCCACCTGTGACTGTAGCTCTGTAAATACCTGTTAGTGTTTTTTACATCTGATTTTTTTTTTTGCAATAAGCACTTATGGAGTAACATGGAAACATCAGCAAATGTAAAATACATAATTCAATACATAATATCCTTCAAGTCCAGGAGGAAGTGCCCCCTCCTCTAGGAGACTTTGCCTGTCCTGTGCCTGTTTTCTCTCCCCTCCCAGATGGCACACTCCTTAAATGCAAGATCTTGCCCCTAACGTAGTGTCAGTGCTGATGAACATGCTCCTTAGCACTATGGAAAACCAAAACCAAGCATCTGACTAGTTTTCAAAAGTAAACCCTTCACGGTGCTGTTAAGCAACTGAAGAGGTGTGACCCCAAACACTAAAGATGAAAAGCCCACCAACCAATATCAAAATTAGCCCCATGTTACTGGAAAATTCAGTTGAAGAAGAGGAGGAAGGAGAAGAAAAATTAAATCATTCAAAATCCTACCTCATGGAGATGACCAACATCAACAAGTTGGTTGCCTTCAAGTCTTTTAAATTTTTCCCCAGATTTTTTCTTCTGAATGTGTATTTTTTTTTAAACACAATTGGGAAAATTATTTTAAATTCTGATTTTTCCTCAAAAAAATTTCTGAAACTTTATAGTACAGCCATTTCCCCCAAGTGATTAAATATTCATCCAAAATATTTTGTGTGACTAAAAATTATTTTATTGTATGTTTATATATTAATTGGTATATAGATTCCCCATTTGGTTGTTTCTGCTTATTAACAGATTTGAGTAATACTGAGTTGAACCTTTTTATACCTAAATAATGCTTCAAAACAACAAGTCTTACATATGTTATCTTCTAAGAAATGCAAATAGAAAGTAAACATAAAACATTAAAAATAACTGCAGTTATTTTGCCTATCAGATTAAAAAATATTTTTAAAAATTCAGTCTTGATTAAAATGTGTAGTGACAGAACATAAATTAGGGCAATCTTTTAGGACATTAGTTTGCCAGTATGTGTCTAAAATCACACTCCATGTTCCTTGTGACTTCCCAGAAACCATATCTTCTGACGTTACTCAAAGGGATGCTTGTTGTTCTCAAGAGTATATAGGATGCTCTTGGTAATGTCCTTTTACCATAGATCGTTGGGAAACAACTTAAATATCTTTCAATAAGGACAAATGAAATGAATTAGAGTTCATCCATACAAGGGACTATTAAGCAGCTACGAAGAATAATGATGATGACCTTCATTTCTACAAACTATTGGTGTAGAAGTTTGTTTAAAAAAACCAATAAAATAAATAAAATATTCCATTTACCAAAAAAAAATGCTCAACATACAGCTAACTTTGCATATAATCTTGACTGAAAACATGGAAATAATAGATATAAGTAGTTCGATGGTGTTCCGGTGATTTTTTAAAGGGAGTTTTGTTTATTCTGGTCCTATTTCTGATGATTTCTTCTTTGTCTCTCTTTTTAACATTGGAACTATTTTACAATAAACAGCCTCATTTTTACCTGATCCATATAGTTATTTTCAAAATAAAATAAAATAATCTTCTGCCCGGGATTTCTGAATCCTTCCTGTCAATCAAAGTGCTAACATAATACTTCATCCTTCAGCATTCTAGGAATTAAAAAGTGAGCACATTCAATATCTCAGCAACGGCAATGCCAACGAGCTTCATTCTGCTGAAGGCACACATTCAGTTCTTCATCATGTGTTTTATGAGCATCTATCATGTAGGATTGTACCACGCAATGCCGCTTGGTTTTGGAGCCTTTTTCCTCTACTTACTAACTTTATGACCTCAGCCTTTCTGCACCTAGCTGGGCCTCTGTTCTTCATCCTTGATTGGGATGTTGA